GTTTTTTAAAGTTTAAACAGAACGCTGTGTACATGGTATTCTTTGAAATTTTTTGTTATTATGTTAATTTATTAAAGCGAGGTGTGCATAGTTCATAGATTCCTTCGCTGCAATTTGTAGATTTTTTTTAAGTTTAAACATATCGATGTGTACAAGGATTTTTGTCAAATGTTTTTGGTTTCTTTTTTTTTTTTAGAAACTTTACGTTTTTGCTATCTAAGTTTTTTGTTTTTGTTTCGGATTTTTAGCTTAAATTGTGTGTTTAAAACGTGGTTTTTGCACATGAGAAAACCGCACTTTTTTAGACATTTTAGGCTTAAAGTTTGAAATGTAGAAAAAAATTTAGATAGTAATATGGTACCATGGAGTTTCTCGCCAAAAATATTTGACAAGAAATTTCTCGCCAGGCAAGGGTGTATATAAGAGTAGTTCCCCCACTTTATAATAAAACTTGCATTTCTCAGTGGATTCTGACACCTTTTATCAACAATAATTGATCGATTACAGTTACTAAAGACATGTTGTTTGACTAAATTTTTTCTTGCTTCTATCGCATGGTGAAGATGCTAAGATTAAATTAGATTATTTATTACACTTAATGTATATTGCAGCATATAAAGCAAACTTTTAATACAAAAAAATAAGATCTAAATTTATGGATGTGTACACGGTCATTACAGTGGTTGCTGTTCGATCTGGAACTGCAACAAGGAAATATGTTTTGTTTCACAACATAACTTTCCAAAAGCCCACTCAGATGGAAGAATGCGTCCAATACTATTTTTTCTTTAGGTGAAAACACATTCATCTATTTCAACTACTCTCTAGACTTCTCCAATTTGTTGAGTTTATTTTAACAACAAAACATTGGCACAAACTTCCCTCATGTAGTTGTTCCAGTTGACAATCATATTCGTGGCTTCTTTGAGGATGAAGTTCACAAAATTCATCTGACAGTAACTCTTGATACCATAAGTATGTAAATCATAAAGTAACGAGAAAAAAGATACGTGATCCACCAAACCAGGTTTGTGTCCACATTTCTTTCTTTTCTCTGCATTGCTGTAGACCGTATAGCCCTCTTTATGGCAAATCACTCTTATATAACCTCATGGGATAATCATTTGAACATCATCTCTCTTCAGGAAGAATTCCATTCTTTGGAAAAAAATTGGATACTTGCCTCTTTGTCTTTAGGCAATTACAGTACAAAATCTGTAATCCGGACTCGTTGGAATTTCGATGATTCCGGATCAGGAATTCTTTCGGATTATACACCATCAACTTAAATCTAGTAATAGCATGCAGAAATTATACAATTAAAAGTACGAAACTGTAATTTATGAAATAAAAAGCAATTTTGTTCTAAGGGATATCAAAATTTACAAAAAAAAAAAAAAGCTTAATATTTATTTGTTTACTTTATTAAACATTTCTTTCAATGTAAGTTTTTTAAGTTGCTTCCACAAGAAATTTAAAATGTTCCTTTTTTCTTAGGTCATATACAGTCAACTTTCTAATGCTATACTCCTCGCATAATTCTGAGACGGACATGCCTTTATCCATTTTTTGCAACAATTCCACTTTTTGTTTAATGGACATCAAAACATGGTTTAGCTTTGTAGATCCTTAGGCAGACCCGGAATTGGAAACTCTTTTCGACATAATCGAAAGTTCAAGCTTAATTTTTATAAAATTGCTCTAACAGTCTGCAAAAAATAATAAGTCGGATCCAATTAGAAGATTAAGGAACAGCGCAATCTGAAACATTAACTGAAGTGCCTCAGAATCAGTAAAGATAATTTTAGCCTAGCTTATACCGTCCATTATACATTAAACGCGTATGCACAAAGCATACTAAAAAAAAGTTCTTGGCTTTGAAGTCTGGATTATGGATCATTCTAAATAATGGACATCAGGATTATGGACTTGGTACTGTACCAAATTAAGTAGTCCATTTTAGCATTTTAAAAAACAGTTTTTCTACAAAGAAACTTATTTATCCCCCCCCAAAAAAAAGGCTTGTTATAGGGTTGCTATGAATAATAAATATAAATTCTTTAAAGGTCGTTACTAACAGGTTCAAGATATTTAACTTAATTGTTACTTTCCAATTTTTTTAAAAAAAGGTTTATTTATGTGATACTTTAGTAAAAGTTCAGTTGCAGTCCACCAGGATCAAATATTCTGGTACTCAGCTAATAGAAAAGTCCTGTCATATACAATTAATGTCAATTTTCTCGGCCAACTGTAAATTACCTAAAGTGTAGTCACATAATGATTTTTTCTTTTTTTTCAAACTGCAATAAAAAACAGAATACTCTCCTGTTATCGGGACCAGATTCAGAAGTATATGTAAGTAGGCATGTAGGTGCTTATGTATGCATGTATATATGTACGTACATAATGTATGTGCATGTACACACATATATACATGCACATACATATATACACTTTAGAATCTGGTCCTCATAGCAGAAGAGTACCAAACAAACAACAATAACAGTTAATTTATATCCTTGTTCTTAAAACCAAAAGGTAGCTTTATTTAGAATCAATCAGGATTGGATGAAACAAAAGCACACACACTAGCACCTTGTTATGCTAGGCTAATTAATAATTGACACTGAATCCCGTTGCTTGGCAACTTCATGGTTGAAAGGATAATACTTAAATATGTCTTTTTTTTTATTAAGTCAAATTTTAAGTAAGTTGCACATTACATTATAATTTTCATGATATACCATAGTAAAATATTCACAAAACATTAGTGTAACAGATGGAATACCCATTTGTATGATAACTGTCATTTGTATGATTTCACGCCATACAAAGTAATTTTATTGAACACTGCACACTATAAAATTTTTCAATATTCTGAAGAACCATATTCTACGGCTTCTCAAAAAAAAAAAAAAAAAAAAAAAAAAAAGAAAGAAAGAAAAAAGAAAACTTTATACTAAGAGAAAGATCTCCATCTCCAAACTCATTAGCAGGGCCGGATTTAGACTTGATAAAGACCTAAACTATTTGAGATACGAGTTCCTTTTATACTATACTATATTTATACTTATTTTAATTTTTGGAGTCATTTATATAAGTCTCTTATACTATACTATATTTATACTGTATTTTAATTTTTGGAGGGCCCTAAGTTACAGCTGGTGCAGCTTATACACAAATCCTGCACTGCTCATTAGAGCCAAAAACGTTTTCCTTATCTAAATGTTAAGTTCTACTTCTAACTGATGAAGTCCAATATTTCTGGGTTCTTCATATGAGAATTCTCAAGCTTTGTTGAAGAAATCATTCATATGGGTTTCCATGTCTTTGCTGATGTCTCACTGATTTTCTTTACTAAAGGCTGTTTTTCAAATTTGATCTTACCTACACTGAATTTAAAATTCTGTGCCCCATATCACTTTCTCCAAATCTTTGCCACTTGTGAGACTTCTGGTAACTGTATTCTTCAATACATCAGTAACATTATTATATAATGTTATTATAAGTTATTATTAATAATTCTTATAATATAACAGTTATTACATAATACTGTTAGGAACAACATTTTCAAGCTAATCGCTGATTTCAGCAAAGAAGTGGTAAGTCTACCACAGCTCAGATCTTTAAGCACCCCAATCATTTCAGGAACATTCAGTGACATTTTTTTCTTAAATACACTGCACTGGTTTGCACTCTCATACTTTTCCCTCATGGTCACACAAAACCTGAGCAAATCCTAATTTGTTGTTTATAATATGTTTAGAAAGTTCTCTTTAATAATTCAGAAGAAAATTATTCATTTCAAACAGTTATGTATTTTTTTGTACATTAAGTACCTTTCACTAAATAGTTGGCAAATAATATTCCAGACAAGCAAGCTGATCTGATACACTTTTAAGAAAGCATAAAAATGAATTTAAAAATTACTAATTTCAAATATCAGGAAAACTTCAAATAAACTATTTGCTGTGTGAAAAATTAAATGAAAAACAGTAACTTATAAATTATACTAACATTTCACTCATTCAAAATTGAGGAATTCCTACATCAAATGATATAATAAGAAATATATTTAACAAATTCAATTAGCAATTTTACTAACAAATATGGCTTTGGAGGTTAATGTTGTGATGTATATTTAAAATAACTATAACTGTAATGGCGTTCATGCTATGCGATTCTGTTGTTGTGATGCATGTGTTATTGTGCTAGCTGAATGTCATGTGAACTGTTTAAAAATGTAATAATAAAAATTTTGAATTCTTGAGATATACTCATTAGTTGAGTCTACTTTGAAAGTATAGAAGTTATTAAGTTTAACACACTAAACAAGAAGTTACAAATGTAATTCAAGACTTCCATCGTTATTTTTCTAAATAAACCGAGACACCATCAGCATTTACTTTTAAATGGCAACCACATACTTTTCCATAAAATAAATACAGATTATCCCAGCAAATATTATAAACTTTGTTAGCATCTTTGCTCTATAACAGTGTGCATTAATTCCCTTTTAAAATACCTAAAACCTGGCAAAAGATTATTTCATAAGAATGCATTAATAAAATAATAACCTTTTTAGTTAGAAAAATACTCTCGAATTTTTGTAAGAAACATCTCATTCGATGTCATAGGCACCCTAGGACAAAAGACAAAATTTTCTGTTATCATTGTATAAAAAATGTGTGAATTTGTTTACCCCCTAAAAAAAAAAAAAAAAAAAAAAAAAAAAAAAAAAAAAGAACCAAATTTATATATTAATTAGCGGTAATAAACAATTAACATAAACAACGCACAGTAATCGTGAAAAATGAATAAACTGAAACAACGCACAGTAATCGTGAAAAATGAATAAACTGTCTATAATTTTAAAAGGCATGGCACTCTTTTATTTAAAGTTTTGAAAATGTAGGGACTAATGATAATGGCAATTGTATTAATTCTGAAAACTGCCAGGTACTGAAATTCCACAGTAAGAGTAACAAAGGAATCCCTACCTGCACTAACATACCAACTACCAGCATGTGTGGCTCTCCTCACAGATGCCTGGCAAGACATTCTGACTTCCCAGTAATTAGTGCAAAGTGTAAATATATCTTTGAAGTCCACTGAATCGAAACAAATACTGATTTATTTTATAAAAAAATACAATTCACAACCACTCCGTTCACATTCGGAAAGAGCGAAAACTTCTCTTTAAACGATTATGATGAGAGTTGAGTTGAGTGATACCTGAGAATTTCGTAAAATTTCCGTGGAAATTAAAATGATTCTAAAATACTTTTCTGAGGGTCTGTTCGTGTAATTTGGCTTGTATGCCCTTGCAATTAAGTCAAATCTTCATCTCTTTTTAAGAAATGGCACTTTATTAATGTGTAATACAAAATAACTCAGTTTCCTAAGAGTCCTGCAACATCGGGCAACATATACCTTTGAGTTTACACTAATGAATTTTTTAGTTATGTAAATGATGTTGCAGGATACGCAAAATAATAATAAAAGATAATAAAAATCCGAAAGCTTTCAGATTTTCTATTAAGACCAGAGAGCCTCATTTTACATTTAAACGAATACGCGTTTCGAAAGTATTCGGGCTAACGCCCTTTTGAGCCAAAAATTTTAAAACAGCATAACTTTAGAATTACCTTATTTATTATTATTATTCTACGTCAGTCTGTAGCGATATCTGCCATGAGACTTCTGGCAGCCCAAAAAATTTTGCCTTGGTTAAGTTGGTAGAATTAAAAGTCATAAAATCAGGTGCAGTGCAAGTTGTCAAATGAAGAAAGTCCATGCTTTCACCCGACAGACAAAGAGGACGGACATCATCAACAACTACAGCAATTCGGTGCAAGTGCATGTATAGAAAGTCATGCGATAATGGAAGATTTTCCGTAAAAACTGAACCAGGCATGTCCATTGGGATAGACGAAAATAGAAGAGTATTCCACACTTTGTCAGTTGAAAGGAGTTCATACTTTTGTTTTAAGAGTTTGTACACTTTCCTCTTTACCTCAGAATTAAACTGATAGTTGGATAGAAATAAATGTGGCTGGGGTAGCTTACAGCCATTTTCAGCCAAATGATCAGCCTTTTTCGTTTCCAGGCATCCCACAGTGGCTGAGGATTCACTGAAAAACTAGCTCCAATTAATGCAATGATCTTTGTTGTATTTTGTTGCAGCCTATGGATTTTGAAAATAAATATGACGCTGTAGAATTTTATATGTAAAGTTATTTTATTTTAATTTTATTAGGAGAAAGGAGAACGGTTAGTTCTTGCAAATCTCGAACAATTTTGGTGATGACGGAAGTGATCGGTAAAACAAGTCAAGGTAATTTTGTTGGTTTTATCGAATTTAATTCTATTTGACTTTATTGAATTTATTTTTATTGAAATGGAATCGTTAATTGAGAAACGAAAACCTGTCAGAGCGTCTTTTACGAGAACAATTAATGCAATTTTGCAAGAATTAGAAAAGGAAATTCCTGATGCAAAATCTGTAAAAACGAAACTTGTTACTTTAGAACATTTATCTGTTGATTTTAATGCATTTGATACTCAAATATTAAATTCGGAATTTTCTTCAAATGATTAGTTTGAAAGTGAATGGGCGAAAATTGAAGAATACAAAGAAAAATTAGATTTAATACGAGTAGAAACGGAATTATTCTTCAATCGCCAAACGACACTATCCATAGGCAGTGTTCCGCCGAATTCGAACAAACGGAAACTGAAATTACCTAAAATTGAGTTAAAACAATTCGGTGGCGAAATTAAAGATTGGCTACCGTTTTGGGGGCAATTTCGGCGAATACATGAAGATAAAGAAATTCAAAACGAGGATAAGATGCATTATCTCGTTCAAGCGACCGTACCCGGTACGAGCCCACGGGATATTGTAAACAGCTTCCCTGCAACTGCCGAAAATTATAAAAAAGTTATAGAAAGCTTAAAAATTAGGTTTGGCAGGGAAGAATTGTTAGTAGATTTCTATATTCGGGAATTATTAGGTTTGATTGTTAAAAATCAAAAGGAAAACTGATCAAAAGGGAAAATGCAGTATATCAAAATTGTATGACAAGTTAGAGTCGTATTTGCGTTCGTTGGAGTCAATAGGAATGACAAGCGATAAATATGCTGCAATGCTGTTTCCGCTCGTGGAATCTTGCATTCCTGAGGAAATTTTACGAGTTTGGATTAGAAATTATGCATCAATAATTACAGCAGAAAATTCTCACTCTGAGAAATTGAAACAATTATTATTGTTTTTAAAGAATGAAATGGAAGGAGAGCAGAGAATTTCTTTGGCAAAAGCTGGATTTAAATTAATTGATTCGGGTGCCAAGAGAGAAAGTAGAAAAGATAAAAAGTACCAGAGTGAACATATCATGCCTACAGCAAATGATTTATTCTCAGGCCAAAATAAAGCAACCAATTATAGTGAGAAGAATTCTTGCATATTCTGTGAAAAATTTCATGAAAGTCGAGATTGCTTTGTTGCTCAGAAGATGCCTCTGAGTCAAAAGAATGATGAAATTAAGAAAAAGAAGGTGTGCTTCTTCTGCCTCAAAATTGGACACAGGGCGAAGCAATGAAAGACAAATGTACGATGTTTGATATGCTCGAAAAGACATTGGGGTGTCATGTGTCCGGATTTGCCCACCAATCAAAAGAGCAATGATGTTGAAAATAATAAAGAAGAGGAAACACAAAACGTATCACTTGCGAGCACTAATTTCCTAGATGAAGTGTTTCTTCAAACACTATTAATTAATATAGACGCAAACAAAAAGCAGAAGACAGTAAGGGTACTTATCGATACAGGATCGCAACGTTCATACATATTAAAGGAGACTGCTGTAGACATAGGGTGCCACGCAATTGGATCTGAATCTTTAATCCATGCACTTTTTGGAGAAGTAACAACAGAGAGAGAAATTCACAAACGCTATGAAGTGAACGTTAGAAGCCTAACAGGTGATTTTTCTAGACGACTAATCTTGTTGGAACAGTCGAAGGTTTGTGGACCAGTAGTCAGTTTACAGCCTGGACCATGGATAGAAGAACTAAGACAGAAGAATATCCATGCATCTGATGTAGGAAAAAAGGATTTGAAAATAGAAGTTCTTATTGGAGCTGACGTCGCAGGTGTTCTGTTAACCGGAAGAATTCAGAAAGAGAAAATGGGCTGACTGCTGTGGAATCACTACTTGGATGGACAATCATGGGAAAGATAAAAGATAACGTTTCAGAAAGAAACTTCTTGTCCATGTCTTCAACCATAACGTCGATGTTGACTCACAGCAGTCACATAGAAAACTTGTGGAAGCTAGAAGCACTTGGAATTACAGATGCCAAAGAAAGTAAAACTGACTCAGAGTTAGAAGAAGCAGTGTGGGATCACTTTGACAAGACTCTGAAGAGGGTGGATGATCGCTATGAAGTCAGTTTACCTTGGATCAACGATAAAGAAGCTTCACCAAGTAATAGAGAAGTTGCTGAAAAGCGATTGATTTCCACGACAAAGAAGCTCATGTTGAAAGATAAATTTGAAACATACAATGCAGTGTTCGAAGAATGGCTCGAATTTGGAGTAATAGAAGAAGAGGAACGAGTTAACAATCATTATTTTCCCCACAGATCGGTCTTCAAAGATAACTGTACAACAGCAGTAAGGCTTGTATTTGACGCTTCGTGTAAGCAAAAAGATTTCCTGTCACTTAATGACTGTTTAGCAAAAGGTCAAAATTTAATTAAATTAATACCTAGATTGCTTCTTGAATTTAGGCAAGGAAAAATAGGGATTATCTCAGATATTAAAAGAGCTTTTCTTCAAATATCTGTTCAAAGATCTAATCGTGATTTCCTAAGATTCTTATGGTGGAAAAACTCGGAACAAAAGGAAATAAGAAAATTTCGCCATTGCAGAGTAGTCTTTGGACTAATATGCAGTCCGTTTCTTTTAGGAGCAGTGATAAACTCTCATTTAGACCAATGTGAACCTTCTTTGAAGGAAGTGGCTACAAAATTGAAAAATTCCTTCTATGTTGACAACTGTGTCACTTCAGTGAATTCGAATGAAAAGAAGAATCACTTCGAATTCCACTTTATTGCAAAATCAACTCAGTTAATAGAAAGTGCTAACTTTGACTTAAGATGGTGGGAGCAAACAGAACTGAACAGTGGAAAATCTAAATCTACAATGAGCGAACCATTGAAAGTTCTTGGTCTTCTATGGGATAAATATGAAGATTCTTTGTTTTGTGACATCCCTAATATCAACTTGATTGATCTCTCAGTGACAAGACGAAACGTTCTATCGATTGTACAGAGAGGTTTTGACCCAATAGGTTTCACATGAACTTTTACACTCCTTCCAAAGTTATACTTGCAAAAGAGCTGGGAAACTAAATTGAGCTGAGATGCAGAGCTACCTGAAGCTATTAAAAGAAAATTCTTAAAGTGGGTCAAAGAAATGCCCTTGTTATCCTCTGTGAAGATTCCCAGACTACTTTCATTGACAGAAGGACAATCTTTTACATAGAAGGACATACGTTTGCCAATGCTTCACAGGGATCTTATGCAAGTGCAGTATATTTGAGAAGTCAAAATAAAGAAGTGAAAGTGACCCTAGTGCAAGCCAAAGCACGAGTGGCTCCCTTGAAAAAAATAAGTATACCACGACTTGAATTGCTTGCTTGTCTTATTGGGGTGCGATTAGCATCATTTGTCAAGAAGAACCTTTAGGTCGAAATTTCAAAGGAATATTACTGGACCGATTCGTCAACAGCACTGTTCTGGATAAAGAACGTAGAAGTTTGGAGCACTTTTGTGAATAACAGAGTTTCAGAAATTAGAATTCTATCGGATCGTGAAAATTGGCATCATGTACCAGGTGCGGAAAACCCAGCCGATATGTCATCAAAAGGATGCTCTGTGAAGAAACTCATTGAATCAAGATGGTGGGACGGCCCACCTTGGTTGGCAATGTCGGAAGAAGAATGGCCTCGTTCTATCCCAATCGATAATAAAGAAGAGGTTGATACTGAAAAACGTAAAGCAGTTTTAGTTTCGTTAAGCAATGTTAGCGATATGTCTTCACAATTCTTTGGCTATTTTTCAAAGTATAAGAAAATACTTAGAATGATTGGGTGGATACACAGATTCATAGGAAATACCCGAAAGAGGAAAGA